CCCCCCCCTCCCGCGTGCCCCCGAAAATGGGTTTTTTTTTTTTTTTTTTTTTTTTTTCAAGTTTTTGCTATAGGGCATTTGAACTTGCCAAAGAGGGACAGAGAGAGAGGGGAAAAGTGAGAAATTACCACTCCCCATGGAGGGTGGTCACGCTGCAATCCCTTCTTCTCCAGTCTCCACTAACAATTTTTAGATATGCATACACACACACCCAACATGATTTTGAAGCATCAAGGTCTGGGACTTGAACTGGATCCAGCCTTAACCTACATGCCACCTGCTATCCCCATATTTAAATTATTATAGTATCATCAAATGTCTTGCTAGTCATAAAAAAAGGAAATCCAGTAGAAGTATAATTTGTTTCCTCCAGACCAGTGATAAGAACTGAGGAAATAGGGCCAGCAGGTGGCACAAAGGTTAAGGCTGCTAGGTCCCACATGGCAATTGAGTAATTTGAGTCCCAGATCCAATGGGTTGAAAAACATGCCAGGCCTATGTGAGTGAATACTCAAAATCCCAAGAGGAGAATGGGGAAAGGACTGTGGTGTGGCCAATTATGCTCCTGGGCATGATTTTTCACTTTCTCCCTCTCTCTCTCCGTCTCTCTGGCAAGCATACGCACCCTATGACAAAAATCTAAAACACAAACAAAACGAGAACAACAACAACAAAAACTGAGGAAATATAGAGACCTCAGTACAAGTCTATCACTATAAAAGCTGGAATAGGGAATGAAACAAAGTCTCTACATCTCCATCCTTTCCAGATGTTGGCAAACTAAACTTTAAAGTTTAGCTATAAATCTGTGAACTTTTTTTTTTTAATGAGAAAGCAGGAAAGAGAAAGAGAATGTGCACACAGGAGGAAGTGGAAGGAGAAAGAGAAAGAGGTAAGTATTTTTGAGAGTCTCTCTGTTGCAATCCTGTGCCTCAGTCTCCTACTTAGCTAGGATTACAGGTGCACATCACAGTGCCAAGTCTGTTCAGGTTGGTCTAGAT